CATTATTTTGTATATCTCCTCTGCTCGAAGGAAAACAACCACAGTTCGTTCAATTTCTCTTCATTAATGAAACTCTTCAGCCCAGACAATATCCTGGTAATCTCTTCTGCACCGTTTTAGTGCTATCACATCCCCGTAATAATGTGAATTAGAGAACTGCACACAATATTCTAGTTATAGCCGAATGAACAAATGAAATAAATGATGCAGAAACCCACAGAAACTGATCGTTTCCGATGAAGTCTATTTTGCTCAATATTGCCCTCTGTCGTTTTCCTAAGTCTGATCCTCCAATAATCATTGGTCCACGCCCGTAAAAGCTGCGACATGAGTTTTGATCTCACAACCGCAGTATCTGAATGGATCGGCTGGTTTAAAGTTCCCGGTGGTGAGACAGGGCACGTTCACACAGCAACACTGACGGCAACAGGACAGAGTGAACGATGTCAATGTGAAAATGGATGTTAGATTGTGCAGCGCTTCAATGAAGTGGAAGGAGGGACGTAAAGGAGAGTTCGTGATTGTGGGAGGGTGAGAAATCTCCAAGTGGTGGGTTTGAAATCTGATGCATCAAATGCAAATATGTGAGAGAGCAGGGGTTGAGAGATGATTGTCACCACCTCAAAGAATATTTTCACGTAAAAATATTTGGTACTTGATGCATTTCTATAGCCTGTGTCACAAGGAATAAAAAGATATAGCAGCAAACATCCACCGTCATGACTCGGTTTCGAACCGAGGTTACTACAGCCACAACGGAGGATATTAACCGCGATACGATCACGGCACCACACACAATAGCCTGCTTGTAAGGAGCAATAACTACAGTGGCAGAGGATATGTTCGGAATAGCACCAGATCCACCACAGAAATGCTTTCCAAGCAGTGCACTGTAATGTGGGGATTCACAGAGGGCTGGAATCTGTAATTTTGATGCTACCAGAGGCTGTGGAGATTCCATCAATGAGTATTTTGAAGACCGAGATTGATAGATTTCTACAAAATATCAAAGACTCGGGGGATAGTGCAGGCTCTTGTTGAAATGTATCTTTCAATAGCAATCTGGTTTAACATTGGATACTTCACCAGTTCCTTCGCACAAGGAAGTAGCCATTGCTGCAGACGACCATATAATCCCAGCTCCGAGGCCCGGAACCAGAGAAACTCAGTGGCCCAGCCACGAAGATATAACCGGAAATGGGGACGGCAATGAGCGTGCGGACATACGCTGTGATAATAGCCGACGAGATAGTCTGTGCATTATGAGCCAAGACAATGTGACAAAACCGAGATAGAGCCGCGGGGATGATGTGCAGAAGGATGAGAGAATGCAATGCTGAATCAGACAGTGACCAGGGTGATACAGATAGAAGTAAAGCAATCGGTGAGGGCGCGGCCCTTCTCAGACGGTATAGAGGCGCGTGAAATGCCGAGTCTGTGAGCTCCAACCTCACCCGGAGCAGCTTTTATCGGCATGGAGGAGGGATTATTGGGGCATCAAGCTGTATGAAAAGATACTCAACAATTGTAATCTGAGGCAAAATAGTTTTTGGCAGCACAGATGTTTGTGGATTGAGGGAGGATCTGTCCGTGAAAATGTCACAAAATTGCTGCAAATATTCAACACGTCAAGAAAGAAATCTGTGCTGGGAGAAATGGAGCTAACGTTTTCGCTCTCTTACTTTTGTCATACGGCTGATCCTGCACTGGGTTGAATTGCAGGAAGGGCTTTTTTAGCTCATTTCATATTGTTCAATTTCATGCAAACATGCACAGGTCATTGAAGTAATCTAAACTTCCGAAAAATAATGGTAATATACGATGTTGTGATTAGGCTCGAGTTTACCTCCCGTTAAGGAGGGAAAGCAGGAAAGCGGAGTTGAGATTTATCAGATCAGCAGCGATCTCATTGAATGGCTGAGCAGACTCGATAGGGTGAATTGCAGCTTCCAGACTACAAATGACAGTGAAACTCACCACATCACAAAGGGGAGACAATTGAATTGAAGTAGCGACGGTGATTATCTTTGCTGGTTGTTTATCTTGTGAATGTTACTATTGCTGCTCATGTCCCTGCTAACAACACAAAGGCAGCTTTCCCCTCTTTAAGCAGCTGTAATATGGACTCTGATGTTCTCGGGGACATTAACCAACATTGAAAGGATTGCGGACATAGCTGAGCTACTTTTGCTGTTGCCACCATCAGGAACAATAAAACCTGCTTCCCCTGACTGGGAATCGAACCCAGGCTGCGGTGGTGAAAGCACCGAATCCTAACCACGAGATCACCAGGGAGGGTGGTAGGGATATGTGTATCGTTTCTTCATGACACAGCTTCTGACAGTTTCTTTCTACGACAGGTGTTTCTCCTCCAAAATGACTGAATCATCGTGTTTTTACAGCACAGAAAGAGGCTCACCGTCCCAGTTTCCAGCCTTTGCCCATAGCCTTGTGTGCTACGAGGCGATGGACCGGCCGTTTGAGATGTTCACGTTCCCTTGGGGAACTGGATCACATTTTGCACCCTCAGAGGGTAACACATAGACACATTTCTCAGAAGGTGACAGAGGCCTCAGCAAAGACCAACGCCCAGAAAGTAGGATTTCACCCATTTGGGTTATATTGTCCCATTTCACACTTCAAAACCAGAATCTGATTACAGCAAAGGGAAAAAGCATTCGGCCACTCCCCTCTAGGTTTGGTTCCCCCATTGTTTCCTTGTCAATCTGCAGTTTATAATACCTCACCTCACCTAACTGCTGGCCTGTGGACGAAATAACATTGTCATAATTTCGGACGATATTGAAAGTGCTCCTTTGGATGTTGGATGCAGCAGCTGTACAAACATTCTCATATGCTCTAGTTAGAAGTAAACTCATGACCGCTGCTTGACAAGACCATTGCTTTCAATACTGCGCTACAGAGCGAAGACTGTGCCCTGTAAGGTAGGGTTTCATGCATTAGAAACTGCAATATAACAGATGACGGGATAGTCTGTGCGTTATAAACCAAGACAATGTGATAAAACCGAGATAGAGCCGAGGGTTCATGTGCAGAAGGATGAGAGATGCAATGCTGAATCAGACAGTGACCAGGGTGATACAGATAGAAGTCTTCCCTAGTAGTCTACTGATTAGGATTCAGTGTCTTCACTGCCATGCGTGTTCATGGTTAAAATTTACATAATAAATATGAAACATTTACTGATCTTTCGAAGCAGAATTATGTCGTGGACCAGTCAGTATCACTTCACTCCACATTACAGTTCGACATCAGCAATGTCAGCTGCAATTGCCTGACGTGCAATTTGTTTAAGACAAGAACAGGGGAGGTCAGGAAAAGTGAAGGGCAACGGTGGTTTGTGAGAGTTGACTGTAGGCCAAATGGAGCCAGACTCAATGTGAGCACTGAAGACTGGTTTTTCCTGGTTACCCTGGTATACAGATCACTCTGGAACAACCAACCACAATGACTGCCCTTTTGTTTGCTGCCCTTTGCACATCTCACCTTGGTTCAGTGCCCCGATGGGATCCACACATTTTTAAGCAAATTTTACTCCGGTCAGTTTTGCAGCCTTATATTAACATCATGCATTTTAGGAGTAGAAAGAGACAACTCAGCCCATCAAGTCTGCTCTGTTATTAAATGAGCGGATAATCCTGATCTGATAATCCTGAACTGCACTTTCTTGGATTTCTCCATAACCTTTGATACCCTTGCTGTTAAAATTTTTTCGATCTCAGCCTTAAATATACTTAATGGCCCAGGCTCGACAACCCTCTGCTGTAAAGGAATCCACCGATTCACAACCATCTGAGAGAATAAATTTTACCTCATTTCTGCCTTAAATGTGCGACCTCCATTCTGATACGAGACGCTCCATTCCTTGACGGCCCCAGAAGGGAACTAACCATTCTGCATCCAATCCGTTACATCACCAAAAACACCTGTATGTTTCAACAAGGAGCATTTTTGTAGGACTGTTTCTGAGCAGATGAAAGCAATGGATTTCAGTGCTTCTTCCCATTTAATTCATCTCTGATGTGAAACTCTCATTGATTCTGATAGAGATACTCTCTTTGCTGGTTTTAATGCCAGAAATTCATGTTCATGTTAAGAGTTTGTACAGGAACAATAAATCCTTACTCCCTGACTGGAAATCAATCCAGGAAACAGCAGTCAGAGTGCTGAATCACAACTACCAGAGCACCAACGAAGGTGCATGCAATGCTTGCAACTTCTCTTGCTGGCAATGCTTTTGAATTTTATCATTTGCAAAATGACGGAGATTGTTCCATGATCTTATATCAATGCCAATCATTAAACATCTCACTTGTAAATACAGTTTCCGGCACTTGGTTTTGTGTGTCCTGACGTTTTAAGTGCTCATCTAAATAGGTATTCAATGTCTTGAGGGCTTCAATGGAACAAAAACAGCCCTTCTCCCAATGACAGGAAACATTACTGTTTGCTGGAACACGAAATCTACAATTTCCTCCTTGACAACAGTTCCGAAAACCAAACTCTTCCTCAGAGCCATTTGCCAGTTTTCCTCATGATGCCAGTAGTTTGAGATTATATCCGTCTGGTTACCGCTAATGACTTTCATTTTCAAACTCTCTGCTCAGCCGAGGAGTGTTGTCCCTCAGGGTAAACCACATCACTTTTCTCTCTCTAATAATGGCCCAGAACAAGTATGGCAACATTAGCTTTTCATGCGTGGCTCACTGTCAGATTTTGTGATATTGTAAACATGGGACTCACAGGGATATTTTATTCTTTATTGTATGCATTATGTAGGTCAGTTGTGCTTGTAAGAGATAAACAGAAAGATTGCTTGTACACGTAGTAACTTATATAAATTAAAAGTCTACAATGGCGGCTGCATTAACCCAGAATTCCGAGCGTTGGTTAACGTCCCCTATGGGCAGGTTCCTTATCGCTGCGCATGCACAGACACACCGCGGCTCAACAATGGCATTGCGCATGCGCGTTCGGAGCGATCCGGAGAAGCAGTTGTACTTTTCCTCGGCTCCACAAAAGGTAACAATGAGGCGGAGTGGAGCAGGCGATGGGCCGGTCGACGGGCAGGGTTTCCTAACCACTTTGTGGATGCGCTCGGGTTCATATAAAGATAATATTGTCCTCGTTTCACGAAACTGGACAAATCGCTGCACCCTCTTAGAGACAGGTTCCCGCTTATCATCCGCCATCTTTGTATGGGGCAAAGGGCAGCTGGGCGCATGTGCGATCACTCAGGGCCAGGGGCGGGAATGTTGTGCTTCGGGGAGGGACCCGAAACGTCAACTTTCCTGCTCCCCTGATGCTGCCTGGCCTGCTGCGTTCCGCCAGCTCCACACTGTGTTATCTCTGACTCCAGCATCGGCAGTTCTTATTATCTCTGACAGAATGTTGTGAATGTGTCTCCTGGACATTAAGGGATGGAGTTTATAAACTACTTTTACAGGGGGTGAAGAGGGGAGTATTTACACACAGCAAACTCAAAATCACAGAAATGTTTGTTTCATCTGAAATTCTGTCCTGGACTGACTGAGATGGCTTTCGTAAACTCATTTTACAGCATGCTGGAAGAGGATTTGCTGATTGGAAACTCAAACCAAATGATATACCAAGATCTGATCGTGCCACTTTATCCTTTATTCATTCAGCACTGGATATTATTGGCCTTTGAATGCAAGTGTTGAGTGAAATAAAAGTTACATAAATTTCCTTCCTTACATCTCCCAGTAACACTTACCCAATATCTTATATCTGTGTCTCTAATACCTTTACTATCAGCGAATGGTAACAGCTGCTCTTTATCTGCCTTATCTAAACCTATCATAAACCTAGACACTTCTATCAAATCTCACGTCAGTCTTCTTCGCTCTATGCAGAGCAACTTCAGTTTCTCCAACCCGACCTTGCAACTAATATTCCTAATTCCTTGAACCATTCTGATCAACCCCAGTACTGACAAAGGTTTTCAGCCTGAAACGTTGACTTTCCTGCTCCTTGAATGCTGTCTGACTGACTATGCTTTTCCAGCTCCGCATTTATTCATTCTGATCAATCTCCTTTTAAATCTCACCACATCTTTTGTGGTGATCACTTGTTTGCAGAGACCCAAATGCACTGTGTTCATGTGTGTGATCTGATCACACAATCAATTGCTCCATAACATCGCCGTGATTGCTTAGTGAGAGTTTCTGCTGACCCCAGTCCTTCTGAATTCTTTTGAGCTGCAGACTTTGGCATATGATTTTAAATTTGAAAACACTGAAATTGTTTCTGTATTTTTAACCAGTAACCTGCATGATTCAGCTTCGGGTGCTGTTTTTAGTTATCTGTGAAAGCTTGACATGGCTCTGGGGCTGGTGTGACCCTTTTACTGTGGATCTGAATCAATATCCATCCATTCCTCTGGTTCATCTCTGCTCTCCCTGATCAACTCTCTGTCCTTGTCTAACCTCCTCTAACTCCGATTATGGGTGCAACTGTCTTAGGTGTTTTATTGTTACTTCCATTTACTCTCTAAATGAGGTTTTTACATCTGAACATCCCCTGACCATTTGCAGCTGGCAATTATCCTCCCACAGTAGCTCCCACGATGCTGTTAGGTAAGGAGTTATTCACCAAGTGATGATGAAGGGACTGTGATATTTGTCTAAATTGATGACAATTAATTTATATCACATGTCTTTGACATAGTGGAAACTTCTAAGCTGTTCCTCAGGTGTGGTTATAAAGCAATTTTTGATTACAATCACATAAAAAGATATCAGAGTTGACAAAATGTTTTATGGTCAAATATGTAGTTTTCAAGGAGTACTTTAAAGTAGAAAAGTGATGTTGAGAAAGTGAGAAGTTTAGTGAAGAAATGTCACACTTTATGGCCTGGTTGAGGGCACCAAATGTGGAACAGTTAAAATTGAGAATGCTCAGGAGGTTGGAATTAGAGGTAATGCAGATATCTTGGAGGGCATTTGTTAAAATTCATTCTTGGGATGTGGGCTTCGCTGGCTCGGTTAGCATTTATTGGCCATCTGTAATTGCCTTTGAGAGGGCTGGAGGACATTACAGAGAAAGAGAAAAAGGACACTATCAAGAGATTGAATAGAAGAATGAAAAGCTTAAAGTTTAGCTGCACAAGCACAAGGTGTTGGGTGAAGCAGACTTGATGCAAATACTCAAACAGGCAGCAGAGTTTTGGATGACCTCAGGATTACATCACTGGGTGAATAACCTGTAACTCCTTCCCTGACAGCATTGTGGGAGCTTGTGTGGGAAGATAAAGCTGCTAAGGCAGCAGCACATGCTTGGGAAAATGGGCAGTGGTAAAAATCTCATTCGGATACAGTGAATGGAAGGAAGAATAAAACACTAAATAGAGCTCAAGTACATCCATTAATAGCGGCAGAGGAAGTTAGACAAGTGCAGGGAGGGGAATGTGAGAGGACGGTGGGGAATGTGTTAGGATAGTTAAGTCCAGAGGGAACAAAGGAATGGATGAGACATTCAGCAGCAGATGAGCAGAGACTGAGAAGAGCCAGGTGATGTTACTGGGGTGGAAGTGGGCAGTCTTTGTGACAGTGGGTATGTGTGGTTGAAAAGTCATCTTGGTGTGTGAAGTATTTCACCATGGTTATGATGTGTTTGGTTCAGACTCAGATAGTTGTCAGGGAGAGGGATGGAGTCAGTCGTGAGGCAGTGGAGTTTGTGTTGGGGACTGAAGACAAAGACTTCAGTTTTGCTATTATTTAATTGTAGGAAATTTCTGCTCCACCAGGGCCAGATGTCAGACAAGTCAGGATGGTGCGTGACCCGGAGGGAATTTGGTGGTGATGGTGTTCACATTCCCTGCTACCCTGCAGCTTTTCGGTGTTGGAGGCTGTGTTTGGAAGATTCTGATAAGGTTATGGTCAAGTTGTGTGTGTTGAAAATCCTCCTCCTTCAGTCCCTTCCTTCACATAGAAGCCAGAGTCTTGTGAGAGATTCTCTCTCACTCTATTGTTGTTTGTTTAACATCAATTTCACAGGATATTAGAAGGGGAAGATTCACAAACCCAACCATTACAACATGATCTGATGGAGTTGCCTGTTTTATCACAACTGGAACGTGATCCGATTTTGAACATGGAAGGAAACAGCCCTGGAGAGGAACGTACATATTTTGTGTGTGTGGACAAGGCTTCAGCCAATTATCAGGCTTCACAAACCACAAATGCAGTCACACTGGGGAGAAACAGTGAAAATGTGGCGATTGTGAGGAGGAATTCATTTCCCCACCTGAGCCGGAAACTCATCGACGCTGTCACGCCAGTAACAGGCCATTCACCTGCTCAGTGTGTGGGAAGAGACTCACTCAGTCATTTAACCTGCTGCAACACCAGCTCGTTCACACTGAGGAGAGATCATTTCAATGCCTGGACTGCGGAAGGTGCTGTAAAAGTTCCGGGACTGCTATGCCATCAATGTGTTCATTCTGCAGACAGACCTTTTAAATGCCCAGACTGTGGAAAATGCTTTAAAACTTCCAGGGAGATGTCATCCCATCAATTACCTCACATTAATGAGAGACCTTTTAAATGCCCAGACTGTGAAAAAAACACAGAGTTCACACATCTCAACAGCGATTGGATTTTGCAGTTCCTCACATTCAGGACTGAAGGTAAAGTTTTAACATTTTGGATAAAACTCACGTCAATCAGCTTTATGTCAAAAACAGTGTGGCAGGTCATTGTAAGGATGTGATCATGGAGTACTTGGTAGAGTCAGCACGGCTTCATCAATGGGAAGTCATACCTGACAAATCTTAGAAGTCCTTGAGGAGGTGCTGAGCAAGTTACGTGAAGGAGAGCTAGTGGAAGTGATCTGTTTGGACTTCCACATGACATTTGACAAGATGCCACATGGGAAGCTGCTAAATAAGATAAGAGCCCGTGATTTCGGGGCCAAGACACTGACAAATCTTGAGGATTGGGTGACTGACAGGGCTCTTTTTCAGGATGGCAGCCAGTGACTAGTGGCATTCAGCAGGGGTCAGTGTTGGGACCACAATTATTCACATTATTCATTAACAATCTGGACAAAGGAATTGAGGACATTGTTGCTAGGTTTGCAGATGACACGATGATAGGTGGAGGGACAGGTCACATTCAGGAAGCAGGATGATTGCAGAGTGACTTGGACAGGCGAGGAGAGTGGACAAAGAAGTGGCAGGTGGAATACAATGAGGGAAAATGTGAAGTTATACATTTTGATCAGAAAGCTAGAGGCATAGACTATATTCGAAATGGGGAAAGGCTTTAGAAATCTGAATCACAAAGGGACTTGAGAGTTCTAGTTCAGGATTCTCTTAGGGTTAAAGTGCAGGTTCAGTTGGTGGTTAGGAAGGCAAATGCAATGTAGGCATTCATTTCAAGAGAGCTGGAAAACAGGAGCAGAGATGCACTATTGAGTCTAAACAAGGCTCTGGTCATATTGCATTTGTAATTTTTGAGCAGTTTTAGGCCCAGTATCTGAGAAAAGACATGCTGGTGTTGGACGGTGTCCAGAGGTGGTCCAGAAGAATAATTACATGGATGAAGGACTTGTCATAAGAGGATTGGTTGAGGACTCTCTGTTCTTGATAGAGTTTAGAAGGATGGGGTGGGGGATGGGAATCTGAATGAAACTTACAGAATACTGAGGGACGTGGATCTAGTAGACATGGAGAAGATGTTTCCACTATAGAAGAGACCAGGACTCGGGGGCACCGCCTCAGAGTGAAGGAATGACACTTTAGAACTGAGAAAAGGAGGAATTTCTTCAGACAGAGGGTGGTGAATCTGCAGAGTTAATTGACACAGAGAGCTGTGCAGGCCGAGTCGTTCAGCGTATTTCAGACAGCAATGGATGTTTTCTTGATTAGTGAGGGGATGAAGGGTTATGGGGAGAAGGCAGGAGAATGGTTTTGAGAAACACATCAGCCATGATTAAATGGCAGAGCAAATTTGATGGACTGAATGGTCTAATTCTGATCGTATACCTTGTGGTCTTTTGGTAATAGTTCAAATAAAATTTGGTCCCTTTTGCAGTGCGTTGTATCTCCCCTGCAGCAGTAGTTGCCACAGTCCCAGAGAACCATAGGGCTGTGCTCTCACTGGAGAGAGAGAGAGAGAGACAGAGCGACAGAGCAATGACTGGTGATGAGTTTAACCTGAGAGAGCTCCTGTTCATGAGACACAGCTCCTAGTCCCTCTACCATGTTCCCACTAAACTGCTGATCCATGTGATGCATATTGTTAACAATTCTCTTTCTCCTGGGTCTGTCCCTCTCACTGATAATTCCGCCATCATCAACCTTCTTGGGAAAGACTGACACTTCATCCTACCATCTTTGCAAACTGTCAATCTCCACTCTCTCTTTCATTGATGATTAAGAGTTGGGGACCAAGTGTAGTGTGTCAAAGTTCACAAAGATAAGTGGTAGAGCGAAGTGTGCAGAGGACACTGAATGTCTACACAGGGATATAGATAGGTTGAGAGAATGGGTAAGGGTCTGGCAGATGGAGTACAATATTGAGGTTATCCATTTTGGTCGGAATAACAGCAAAATTGACTACAATTTAAATTGTTAAATATTGCTGCGTACTGCTGTGGAGAAGGACCTGGGTGACGAATAAAAAAAATTAGTTTGCAGATGCAGTTAATTAAGAAGGCAAATGGAATAGTGTCCTTCATTGGTAAAGGGATGGAGTTTAAAAATAGGGAGGTTATACTGCAGCTGGAAACCGTGCTGGTGAGGCCATACCTACAGTACTGTGTACATTTTTGGTCCTCTGACTTGAGAAAGGATACACTGGCACTGGAGGGCATACAGAGGAGTTTCACTAGGTGCATTCCAAAATTGAGATGGCTGATGAGGAGAGATTGAGTAGACTGGGACTATATTCATTGAAATTTAGAAAAATGATAGGGGAACTCATACAATTATGAAAGGAATAGATAAGATAGAAGCAGGGATGTTGGGTGGGTGGAACTAGAACTAGGGGGCATTACCTCAACTAAGGGGGAGCACATTTAGGATTGAGTTGAGAAGGAACTTCTCCCAACGGATTGTGAATCTGTGGGATTCCCTGCCCAGTGAAGAATTTGAGACTACGTCAGATTTTAAGGCAAAGATTTTCGAACCGTAAAGGAAATGAAGGTTATGGTGAGTGGGCAGTTAAGTGGAGCTGAATCCATGGAAAGATCAGCCATGATCTTATCGAATGGCAGAGCAGGCTGGACAGACCAGATGGCTTACTCCTGCTCCTATTTCTTATGTTCCTCTCGAAATTCCCTGAACTTGGTTGTCCCTCAAGGATCTATCCTTGGTTCTGCTGTTACACCTTTTATTATAATAGACTCTAAGATGTATCCAGTAACAGATGTTAAGCTAAATAGTCTACAGTTAACATTTTTTTCCCATATAGAGGTACTAAGCTGGCAGTTTTCTAACCCCCTGGGACTCTTCCAAACTCTAAAGATTCTTGTAAAATGACTACCAGTGCATCCACGATCTCTGCAGCTAGCTCCTTTCATATCCTACGATGTAACCAACCAGATCCAGCCTTTAATTGGTCTTTAGCTCCAATAGATTTCCTAACATTTCATCTCCAATGATATTCATTGCATTTATTTCCTATTCTTTTATTTGCCTTTTCGCTTTTAAACAATTTTGAAAAGCTACAAGCGGCTTCTACTGTGAAGACTGGTGTAGTGTATTTATTGAACACTTCTGCCATTTCCTGGTTCCCCATTATTATTTTCCCAGTTCATTCTCTCAAGGACCTGTGCTCACTAGATTTAGACAGGCAGATTATTCTTTTTAATCGGTAGAGAAATTAAAGATTGTGGGAAATGGCAGCACAGTGGGTTATCAGATCTGCCATGATCTCATTGAATGGCCTACTCCTGCTCCAACACCTTGTGGATGGCAGTGTTTTTAATACATGGTGGATGCCCCTACAATTGGCAGAAAGCTGCTGCATCTAATGTGGAATAGATGTTCTCCTGATGGATATTATCAGGCATGAGCAAACATTCCAACTCACTCGATGTCCATTATTGTGGAAAGTTTTGTCATTATTTACACATCAAACTCGAAGCAACGTGCCAATTTTCCACACAAATGCATGTTGCTCCATCAAACGGTGAATGTGACCACAAGCGCAGATTTTCCTGAATTTGCCAGGGACAGAAATCTGTCTGGGGGATTAAAACATTGCCTGCTGGGAGATATGGCATGGATTTGGGAGGAAACAATTCATTCCAGGACTTTGGATGGGAAGGGCAGGTTCAAAATAAGACAGTAACTTGCAGGGATGGTGGGGTTGGATCATGAATATAGCAGGTTTAAAGTAAAAGGGAACAAAACCTGCAAGACAACCATTAACAAATGCAGCAAATAGAGATGTTCAGTGGTCAGACATTTCATGGGAATAGGGCCATTGGAGCAGGAAGTGAGTGTCTTGGACAAGGTGAGCTCTCACATATCATGATAGGAAATGGGGGGAGAGTGAAGACACATACATGCCCAGGGCTCAGACATGGAACAACTTTTGAGGCAGTTTGTCCCAGTGAGCGAATGAGAGAGAGGGAAACAGGACAGGGAGCTGATCAGATTGTCTCAATCTTAGTGACAAAGAAGCTTGTGTTCCTTGTACTTATTGTTGGAGGTGAGGATGGAGGAGGCAGGAGAGAGGGAGAGCCTTTCAAAAATAACAAACTGGTGTTCGATATTAAAAAGACTCACCACACTGTACAATTGATACATATCTGATTTATTTGACACCCAGAATGCTAGCACCTTTAACTTGGTTGGATTTTATTAACATCAGCAGAAATAGAGCCTGATATACATGGGTCAGTTCTGGATGTGATTAACAGGAAAATCCCAACACCAGAACTACTTGTGACATCGCTGGTGTCTCACCAGATGGGATGAATGAGCAAATTTCTTCTCACACTTGGAGCAGGCATATGGTATCTCCCCAGTGTAAACTCGCTGGTGTGACTGAAGATGAGATAATTGTGTGAACTTCTTCTGACACACAGAGCAGATGAATGGCTTCTCTCCAGTGTGAGTGCATTGATGTAGAGCGAGTTCAGATGAATGCTTAAACCCAGTCTCACAGTGAGAGCACTTGAATGGTCTCTCATCTGTATGAGCACTTTGATGGCGTGTCAGTTCCCTGGAACTTTTACAGCACTTCCCAGTGTTTGCACATTTAAAAGGTCTCTCATTAGTATGAACCTGCTTGTGTCTCAGCAGGTTGGACAAATCAGTAAAGCCCTTCTCACAAACAGAGCAGTGAACGGCTTCTCCCCACTGTGAACTCGCTGGTTTTGCAGCAAGTGCGCTGACTGAGTGAAGCCCTTCTCACACACAGAGCACAGGAACAACGTCTCCCCAGTGTAACAGCGCTAATGAGTTTCCAGCTCACAGGGGAAATTAAATGCCCTCCCCACAGTCCCCACATTTACACAGCTTCTCCCTGCTGTGACTGCACTTGTGTTTAGACAGGCCAGAAGATTGGCTGAAGCCTCGACCACAAACAGAACATGTGTACAGTTTCTCCCCACTCAGAGGTGTTTTCTTTTTCCATGGTCAAAATCCAATGATGTTCTGGTTACTATAAATTGAGTAATTTGTCAAATCTTGATGAGGTGTTTGGCTCAAGTTTCCTAATTGCGAATCCTCACCCTTGAATATGCTGTGAAATTGATTTAAATAGAAGCAGTGAGTGAGAACTCACAAAAATATAAAGGCAGTATGTGAAATTGAGCTGAATGAAACTGCTGATTTGTGGGAATAATCATTCCTGCACCTATTTGTCATGCCATGTTCAGTTCTCCCAGCAACCTCATGTGTCTTTCCATGTCTAGTATCCAGCAGCAATTATCATTCAAATCCCATATTAAACACTCCGGTTGGTTAAACTGAATTATAATCAGAAAACCTGCTGATGAAAAAATGAAGCAAGGCTTGGGGCTGAGTCTCTGAAAGCCTTGTAAAAAGCCAATCCAACAGCGCTTCTTCACCCTGAAATGTAAATATAACTTGATACTTCTCCAAAAATCTGTTGAATGTGTTAATTGTATAGATACAGAAGCTATTTCCTCTCGTGGGGAATTGAGAACAAAGGGACATTATTTGGAGATAATGTGAAATCTTCATACAATTCTTCATAGGATTGTAAAAATTCAGAATGAAAACAGAACATGTTGAAAAAACTCAGAAGTTCAGGCAATATGTTTGCAGAAAGAAATAGAGTTAATGTTTCAGGTATATGAATTTTCATCAGGACTGGGAAACGTAAGAAATGTAATTGGATTTGAGTAAGATTTGGGTTAGGCGAGTACAAAAAGATGGTCTGTGACAAGGGAGAAGACAGGAAAGATTAAATGACAGAAAGGCCACAGACAATGGAGTTGGAGCTGGAAAAGAAACAAAGTAACAAAAGATGTGCCTGGAGCAGGTGTGCAGCTCACAAAGAAACAAACTGAAACAAGGGAAATGAAAACAAAATAGGGGACAGAGTTCACAGTCTGAAAATGTTGGTCTCCATGGTGAGTCCAGAAAGCTTTAAAGTGCTGAATTGAAAGATGAGGTGCTTTCTTGAAGCTTATGTGTAACTTCACTGGAAGAGTGCAGTGAGTGCGGCACAGAAATATCAGTGTGAGAGCAAAGTGGAGAATTAGAAATGTAAAATCCCTGGTCATGGCAGGTTGTGGATACTGAGAGCCAATTGAACATTTTAAAATGGAGATGTTAGATTTTTGTTAAGAGCTTAACAAAGGTAAAGGTATATGAAATAAAGGTCAGTCCTGATTGAATTGAATGTTTGAGGAGACTTAAGGGACTAAATGGCCTCCTTCTGTTCCAAATGTTCCTCTGATATATTCAGAAAGTCCTCAGGGTATTGGAAAGCTATTGACAAAGAATTCAAAGGGAACTCAATATCTTTTTTTCCTTTATTCATTCACAGGATGTGGGAGTAGCTTTTAGGCAGTATTTATTGCCCATCCCAGTTGCCGAAAGGGCAGTTGAGAGTTAACCACATTGCTGTGTTTCAGGAGTCACAAATAGGCCAGACCAGGTCAGGGTGGCGGTTTGCTAAAAGACGTTAGTGAACCAGATGGGTTTTTCTGACAATTGGCAAAGGATTCATGGTCATCACTAAATTCTTAATTCCAGGTTTTTTTTGTTGAATTCAAATTCCACCATCTGCATTGGCATGATTCAAACCCAGAACGTTATCTTGGCCTCTGGATTAACAGTCCACCAATAATACTATGAGACCATTGCCTCCCTATTTGAAAAGTGGGTATCAAACAACACTTAACATAGAAGCAAAATACTGTGGATGCTGGATTAAGTTTAATCAGTAAGTGTTGGAGAAACTCAGCTGCTCCGGCAGTCTCTGTGGCGCGAGAAATGGAATTAACATTTCAAGTCCAGCATAACTCTTCAGAACTTCAGACCAGTTAACATAGAGTTGCTTTAGTGGCTCAGGACCATCCATGAAGAAGCTGCCAATCTGTCCTCTCCCCTGTCCATTCCTCAGAGTTTTGATTAGAATATTGGAATGGTTACAATGCAACAGAGGCCATTCAGCCCAACGTGTCCATGCCAATGATTGTCTTACCCCCTGCTTTTGCTCTATAGCCTTGTATAATTTTCTTTTTTGAAACATCTGCAAAGCGATCACCTCCTTCCTAAAATGTGGTTCCCTGTATTGAACACAACGCTCCGTTCGAGGGTGATCTGTGTCTGATACAGGTTCATTATAACTTCCTTGATTCCTTGTTATTCTTCAGGAGTTGGGCATCACCCCTTCTCCTGCCTGATAGCGACACGACCATCTTTGAAAGAGCTGTCAGTTAGTCCTACTTTCCTCTGACTCTTTATTTAAAATAGGAGATCTGATTCACTGCTGAAAGTTATTGTTGAATTTGCTTCTACTCCTCTTCAGGCAGGGCATTACAGATCACAATAACTGCCTGAGTAAAATCTCCCTCTCTCCTACGTTGCTGAAAATTATTTAATGTGATGTGTTCAATTGTTGAATATCTGCTAAAAGCATTTCCTGGGTGGATTTCAGGGAACATGCTCCTGCCATCTTTGAGAAACTGAGGACACAACACAGTGTGTTTGAAACAAAGCTGATTTATTTGTTGTTTTAAAATAACGACTTCCAGTCACATCACAGTGCCATTAACCTCAGAAAGAAAACAAAACCCAATTCTCTGAATTAATCTGTTTCAGTTATGAATGTGATTAACTGCAGCAACAACAGCAGAATCCAATTTCCGTCATCACTTATGAACTCATTGGTGTATCAGTGGGTAAGGATGTCTAAGGGAATCCCTTTTCAGACACAGAGCAGGTGAATGCGCTCTCCCCAGTGTAAACTGACTGGTTTCTCAGCAGGCTTTGTGTTGTTGCGCACACAGCAACTGATTAGCTTATTCCTCATTGCGAGTGTGTTTGTAGCTCAGCAGATCACTGTTCTTAACACACTTCACACAGCCAGAACATTGAAAATGTCTTTGATCGATGTGAACAAGTTGGTGCGAAGTGAAGCAGGTTAAACAAGTGATTCCTTCCCTAATACAAACTTATTGGTGTCTCAGCAGAGTTCTTGACTTAGCAAAACTCTTTGCATATATGAACACGCTGATGCTAAATAAGGGGCTGAGCAACAAATGTTGTCTTCCTGTGGAGAGCAATCCAACAGTCATTCCTCACTCTGAAATTACAGTTCAGCATATCTCTGGTGCTTTAAAATATTCTAAGTATGAGATGAGCTTTATAGTATTCTTTTTAATTTGTGTGAATCCGTTCATAGATTTACAGAAAATTTACAGCGCAGGAAGGGACCACTTCTCATTGTGTCTGCACTGGCCAAAAAACAAACATCCATCCAACCTCACCCACTTTCTGACATTGTGTCTGTAGCCCTGCAGGTTCTAGCACTCGAGCTGCAGATCCAGACACCTTTTAAATGTGTTCAGGGTTACTACCTCCACTCCCCTTTCAGATAGTGACTTCCAGACCCTGACTACAGATGCCGATAAATCTGCTGAAATTTTCCAGCAATTTCTGCTTTTGTTTCGCCAATTATCTGGCTTATCTCAAAGAGAAGTGCTTGCACTAAGAAACTGCTGAGGTCCTGGAAGAGAAGGATCCTGTGATGAAATACTTTGGAGAGAATATATCACTTTCAACAGTTCAAGAAGACAGCTCACCACTACCTTCTCAAGAACAATTAGGGATGAGCAATCAGTGTTGGTCAGTGATGAAGGAGTGAAATAAAACAGCTGCTAATAGTCAAAGACAATGTGTTGTTTGTGATAGCAGCCCATGTGATGACAAGGCCCAGTGTATGGGGATGGGGTAAGGACATGGGGAAAGGTACTCCAGCCCAAAAAGGTAGCGTGGCTAAGTGGTCTAAGGTGCTGGATTTAAGCTCCAGTCTCTATTGAGTTGTGGGTTTGTATCCCACTGCTAGCAATAATCACTTGTGATGTACCCTAGTGGAAGCTGGGCAATGTCAATGTTTTTTGGCACAGTGGTTAGCACTGCTGCCTCACAGTGCCAGGGAGCTGGGTTCGATTCCACCCTCGGGTGATTGTCTGTGTGGAGTTTGCGCATTCTCCCTGTGTCTGCGTGGGTTTCCTCCGGGTGCTCCGGTTTCCTCCCACATTCCAAAGATGTGCAGGCAAGGTGGATTGGCCATGATAAATTGCCTGTAGTGTCAGAGATGTGTAGATTAGGTGGGTCATGGGGGATGGGTCTGGGTGGGATGCTCTGTGGTTCGGCGTGGACTTGTTGGGCCGATGGGCCTGTTTCCACACTGTAGGGATTCACTGAAAAAAGGAGACTATTTGTCCTTTAGTCTGGGTCTAACTGAAATGCTGAGCAGTCTCAAAGGGGCTGAATGACCTATTCCAGTTTTTCTGTACATTCTCCCCAGACATCCCCCACTCACAAACTTTGCACAAGGTCTGGTTTCCTGTTGCCGTGTCTTGTCCCCAGCTCTTATGTCGTTCTGTTCATCAGTTGTGTTTGGGTTCTGGTTTATTTGGAATATAAGAACAGGAAGGGGCCAATGAATCACTCAGATCTCTTATATCAGAATCAGAATTAGCTTTATTATCCTATGTACTCAAATGAATACAGTGAAATACTAAATAAAAGCCAAAAGAAATACAGACGCTGTCAATCAGAAACAAAAACAGAAGTTGCCGGAAAAGCTAAGCAAGTCTGGCAGCATCTGTGAAGAGAAATCAGAGTTAACATTTTGGGTCCAGTGACCCTTAAGTGTACAAGTCACCACTTACAGTGCCATCTTAGGTACAAAGGTCCCCAAGTACAGCTTTTTCAGTTACAGTTCTTTGGAAGAATTGAGGTCAAAATACAAAGTCCAGCACTGCAGATTATTGGAATAAATTATAAAATGGAGAAAAAAGTTCAGAACAGGTCTTCCTACCCAGTTCATGCTGGCACTTAGCCTCCAGTTTGCACCGGGCTTCAACTCCAGACCATGCCTGGCTGCAGCTCAGGGTTCATGAGGCCAGGAGAATGCTCTGGAATCACCTTGAGACAGAAGTTCACGCCGAAGCCATGCTGGGCCGGCAGACCATCATAACAGTCCAAGAGGACGCCTCGTCGGGTCTGTGCCGAGGCTGAGAGTTCCGAGCCTGCAAGTCGGAGGCCGTGAGATCCAAGGCTGAGAGTTCTGAAGCCAGGAGTTCAGAAGTCGTGAGGTCCGAGGCTGGAATTTTGAAGGCTAGGAGTTCGGAGGCTGGAAGAGAGAAGAGGAGGATTTAAAAAAATACAAAAGAAAAGAAAAAGAAATGAATCATTCATTGAGGGTCATATCTGATCTGTGACTCATTTACCTGTGTATTTATTTTAGTACTGGCTTTCCCAATCTGTCACAATTTGATTTAAAGAGAACTTTCATTGACATCACACCTTCTGTTAGGCAAGTGTCCCAAGATACATCTCAGAAACATAAACGTACGAATCTGACCAAATTAAATGCTGTGTCAAAGGGGATCTTAGGAGGCCTGACAAAAGCTTGGTTGAAGATATAGGTCTTTAGGTTTTGAAAAGCGGAGAGACGTGGACTGGAAGGGAGGGGAATTCGTCTTCAGCGCCAGTTTTTTAAAAAATCCATTGGTGGGATGTGGCTGTCACTTGACATGCCAGCATGTATTGCCCTCGAGAAAGTGGTAATGAGCTGCTTTCTTGATCTGCAACAGTCTGTGGAGATGTGAGTTCATCCACAATGCTGATAGAGAGGGAGTTCTGGGTTTTTTGAGCCAGGGAGTCTGAAAGAACAGCAATATATCTCCAAGGCAGGATGGTGTGTACCATGGAGGGCAGACTGCAGCTGGTGGCGTTCCCCTGTAACTGCTGTCCTTCTCTGGTCGGAGAGGTCATGGATTTGGAAAATGCTGTTGGTGG